GTGCACCCTCAATTGCCATGCACCTGCCTGGAGGTGACCGCTTTCTCAGGTGTCATTGTCCTCAGAATTAAACTGTCCCTGCCGCACACCTGCCTGCAGTGACATCCTCCCTGTGGTGATGCCACCCTTAGGCTCTGCCCTCCTTGGGGGTACACCTGTCTGATGTGGGGACATGGTCCTTAGAGCACCCCCTCCTTTTGGGTCACCCTCTTTGTGGCATACCTGGCTTGGGGTGGCACATGTCAGAGAACTACTGGTGGCACCCTCCTTGGAGTGTCACCCACTGAGGGTCACACTGTCCTTGAGGAGCACCCTTTTCTGCCTGTGAGAGATGTCACACTGCCCAGGGATGCACCCATCAGAGGGTGGCACTGTCCCTGGGGTATGCCCTACTTTTGATGAGGCTTCTTCCTCTGTTTAATCCCTGCTTTTGGTGACAATATTGGAGCGGCACCAGCCAGGGAGTTGTTTTTGGCCCAAAGAGCACATCCCTACAGGAGGGACAGATGGACACTCATAGGGTGTGGGAGGTGTGGCCCCAAAAGCACCCTCTGAGGCCCAGCTGTGCCTTGAGCWGGGTGCACTCAAGGGACAGTTTCAGCCAGAATTCCAAAAGACTTYGTTGCGAAAGCAAGATGTTGTCCCTCCTGTCCTAAGTAGAACATAAACTTTGTCTGGACCACATGAATAGTTTACATTAAAAAAAAAAGTGAATGGATGAGCATCCCAAACAAGTAGCATGGTTGAACACCCAAACTGGCTTCTAGACTATCTGAAAAGTCCTGCCACATTTTAACTGTTAATTTGTAGCTCTTTATTTCTCATTCAGCTGCCTGAAATAGCAGAAGGCAGTCACAAATGCAATCTGTGCTCCAAGGTAATAAAGCGCTGTCTGGGAAGCTGGAACAGCGTGTGTAAACACGAGTCTGATAAAATAATGACCAGCCTATGCAACTGTGCTATCATAAATAATAAAATGGCAACCTAATTCAARAAATTCAATAACATAAATAACTAAAATAACAAGCTGGGGATAGAAGAGGCAGGTTGCTGTAACAGAAAACGGTTTGTAGTATAATGAAACCAYCTCTGTTCAACCAGAACAATTGGTGTGCATGAAAGCATAAGAGAAACAGCATTTACAAACAGTAAACTTTGGATAAGATAGCAATGCTGCAATCTGCTGGAATGCTTGAGAAAGCTCTGTCTCCTTCAGGCAGCTGCAAAGTTKTCAGCCCATGCAAGCCTTTACCCTGCAAGCTCTGGGCAGCTCTGCTCTGTCTTTGCTCAGAAAGCACCTGGGGTTTGTTTGATCTCCCCTTCCAGTCCTGGCAAGCCCTGGMTGTGCCTGAATGAAACAACGCACAAATAAGTGTGAGCTCGAGAGGTGTTTGTTTAGTGGTTAAACTAATATGTTTAACAAGAGCTTGCTGTATGGAGATGCACTGTTTTGCTGTCCTTGTTTCCTGAAAGCTGGTCACTAAATCTCAGAGCCAACTGATGCCATGAGTGTTTCCCCTGCCTGTTGGCACATGGAAGCTGCCTACTAGAAATATCCAAACATTATTAATCAGGTTTTTCATTTGCAGAACGTATTTGGGGGGGCTTAAAATTTATGAGAGACTCACAGAAAGCCCTTTCCTTGGCAGCAGGGATGTCCCCAGGTGGGTGAGTGCCTTCCACCCTCACCACTGTTGTTGAGAGCTGAGAGCAGGGCCTGGKATGCTCCTGGAAAGCAGAGCCAYGGCTCAGGCTTGAGAATGTTTACTTAATTTCCTTCTGGATTTTAAGAATACACWTATGTGTGTATCTGTATCATGGATACCTCATTTGCAGACACGGGGGAAGGGAGCTGTGCTGGCACACAGGAGCTGAAGGGTCTCGAGGAAAAGGCTGGGTGGGGCGTGTTGCTAGGAGATGGAGACTCCAGTGTCTGGCAAAGTGGCRTTTTTATTTTTGGTGCAGATCACACAAAATGGTATTTGACTGTGAGGCAGGGTAGAAATCTCTTCTTCCTGCTTACTTACATTCATCTCTGAATGAATCTGTTTTGGTGTAGTAGCACTGCAGCTTATTTAAAACACAAATCAAATGTAGACTGTGTGTTGTTCAGTCCAGCTGGAAGCTGGGTGTTCGCAATCTCTAAATTATATATTCTTTTCCTTTTTCTATTTTCTTTTTTCCTACTCATTGAGAAATCCCTTGTCTGAGCAGCAGGATATATGTCTCTCTTTAGGGGAGGGCACCCTCACATGCCTCTGTTTCCTCTGTGGCCAGCTGTCTCTTGTTTTTTCAGACACTCTGAGTTCACAGTCAGTTTTTCTGGGTTTGAGCTTATTAAATCCATCCTGCCAGGGCTTGTTCTCTCTTGCTGTGCCGCCTGTGCCTCTGTTACACCCCAGTGCCAGCCAGGAGCACCCCCACCCACGCTGGCTGCACATCCACTCTCCCCACAGACAGGGACTGTGTGATGGCACAGGGAAATCTGCCATGGAATACCTGGCCCTTCGCTGCTCCTGGTGTGCTTCCAGGGCTGGATTTACAGGAGAAATTAGGTCTGAGTGCTAAAATGTGGAATTTTTCTGCACCCTTTTGTGGGTGCAGGAGTCCTGGACAGAAACACAGATCCATTTCAGCTCCCACAGAGGCTTTCACCACACACTCACATTTTGCTGATGCTGTCTTGGGCATCAAACTGCCTTTGCTTGATATTCAAGGGGCTTTTTGGAAATGCAGGGCTAAGTAGCAGGGTGCTAAAGGGCTGGGAGGGCACCCAGGAAAAGCTGGATGCTGCCTTTTGCAACACTGGCTTCAGCTACCCTCGTGAAACTACAGAAGGGTTTGTAGCCAAAAATCTCAAATCATGTCCAGCCTCCCATCTCAGCACTCTGCCCCTGTCACCACATTTGGGTGCTGTATTTTTCCACTTCAACATGACCAAAAAAAAATGCCAGGGATGCTGTGCATCTGTTAACACAAAGGCTGAAGTTCTGGGATGTGCTATCCAGCCCTTGTAAGTGCCCTAAATCTGTGGATTTTCAGTAGGATTTGCATTCCCAGCCTGTTTTGGGAGGAGATAGTTAATGAGATAATGCAGCAGCGGGTGAAGTGTGCCATGTGAAACGGGTTTTTTTGAATGTTGGAGGAACTGCATGCATCAGAGGCAGCTTATGCCCATTAGATTTGTAACCAAGCAATTCCCATTTATATTRTGTAAGTGATGTCATTTATCAAACYCCATGTAGCGGCCAAGAGCAGATGTCGAGCCATTTGCACCACAGCATCAGAAATTAACTTTTCTGGGGGTTATTAAAATTATTAGTTGTTCAAATACAATCTTGTGATTATAATATAATAGAACAACAAGCAATGTTATTCCAAAAATGTAATGGATGTGGGGCCAAAATCTATTATGGTCTCTTGTTGGTATTGGGTGCAAATCTGTGTGCTGATATGTGATGCTCTGAAGGGAATGTGCGCTGGAAACTCTGAATTAGAGTGGGGAAGGAGTGTGGTATTTCTTGCATTGAAAATAAGCCATTTTAAGCATGCACATGATGAACATTCATTTCATGAGGAGGCTGCTGAGGAGGGACTGCTTGCCTGTGCAAGCATTGGGTGCTGGAGGACATTATTTCAGAGTGGATTACTCCTACGTGAGAATGAGACTTCTGSATAAGAATTCATTAAGGCCATAAATGACTAATTAGATTCCTCAACCTGTTAGAATGTAACAGTAATGAATTCCCATTATTTTTTATATGCTTTGTGATTAGTGTGATGGTTTGGTTGGGGGGRTTATTTTTAAAGCAKATCTTTAYGGTTGGACTCCATGATCTTAGAGGTCCTTTCYAGCCTTAACAATTCAGGCTCTATCCACAAAATTGAAGCCCAGTATGGGTGTGAGGTGAGCCACATGGAAAGGTCAGGGTGTATTTTTTTGTTTTCATGCAGTCTTACCCTCCTTTTCCTTGCAAGCTGTGGGCAGCACAATTCCTACAGAAACTTTGTAGCCTCAGCAGTAAATCCTGATAACTTGTAGC